TCTCCTGCAGAATAAAATTTTCTCTAGCTACAAGAGATAGTATTAGACTAATTGCTGAATTTTGACATGCTGCTCTTGCAGCTTGCTTCTTCAGGCAGCTAGCATTGGGCTTTATGCAGTTGGTGGGAGAATCTTCACTGACAGAACCACCTAAGCCAGCTCTCTGCAGATCCTAGCCAAGGATCAGTAAAAGGAAGGTTTCATTGCACCTGATTCTCAACTAGGGTTTGGTTCCTGACACTGCAGGTGGCACAGATTGTAACTTCCATGATCTTCATCTTTACTAAGATGCATGATAGCATGGGGAACTACAGCCAGATTCATAACAGCAGCTCTCTCCTGTTAGATCAGGGTGCCCATCCTTATAGAGTAATTTTTCATCTTCTAGCCCTGAAACATTTAGTGAACCCTTTTAAAATGTGATTACTAGTGTAGGGGAAGGGTGAAGATAGCTTGCTTTACACTTGTTTTTCTCCTAATTCCAGTTAACGCTGTGGGGCAGACGGTGCAGCAAGCTGTGGAGCAGGCTAAGGATGCTGGTCAGAAAGGTACGGGCACATTTCTGTTTACTTCTATAATGTCACATTGGTGACATCCCAGACGGGTCCCCCAACTCTGCCTTGTCCCACACCGGGTGTGCAAGGGAAAAGTGTTGCAGCGATAACCACAGTTACGTTTGTTTTTTCTGTTTTAAAAGCTCTCGATGAAGTCTACAAAGTTGCTGAAACCGGTGAAAAAGCTGTAAAAAATGTAGCGAATCAGGCAACTTCGTGGGGCAAAAGCTTTGGGCAATGAAGATTAAAAATGTAACACCACTGAAATTTTTGTAAACAAGTTTCTATGACATGTACTCTTAAATAAAGACAATGCTTATACTCTACCTGTCTTGCATGCATTCCTTAAGAATCCTTTGGTTACACATACTTAAAAAAAAAAACCAAAACATTCACAGTCCCTGGTCTAGAAAGACTGGATTACTGCACAGAGCAGGCAGCCAAAGCTGTGCTACTAATGCAGACACTGTCATCTTTCACAAGCTAAGGGGTGGCTGGGAGTGGGCACAATGTGAAGCCAAGGACTTGAGATTTGGTGTCTCTCCCATTTTGCCACTGAGTGCAAGGGGTGATTGCCTGCATGCAAGTTATGCAAGCTCAGCGCCTGAACAGCCATTACAAGACAAGGTAAGCACCTGTGCGCCGCTGCTTATCTGTAAAATTATGATTTGATACTCTGCTGACGGATGCTCGAGTGTGTCTAAGGTATACATAACCACTGCGAAAGAGCACTGTGATACCAAAACATACTAACAGCAGGACTAAGGCATTAGTGCCAGCGAGCACTTGGCTGGCCACTGAACTGCTGAATGCAGCCTGGTTCACTGGTACAACTTCAACAGCTCTGCATGGCAAAGTATTGATGGGCAACACAGCACTTGGTACGGCAACAGAGTTGTTTGCCACGCTTGCAGGGCTCCTGTCAAACACCAGGATGGACGGGAATCAAACAGGAGCTGGAAAAATGAGAACTGACCAAGTCTGGGCTTTAAAAAACCCAACCAACCAAAAAAAAAAAACAACCCACAAAAACAACAAACCAAAAAACCCTGCATGCACATGAACTTAGAGTGAGAAGGTAACCAATGACTTGGTACAGCAATGAGTAAGGAATCTGTTCTTATGGGCTTACCAATTACTAATGGAGTAACTTAGAGGTCACTTACTTGATGTCTTGGAATCACAGCAAGAATTACCATTGCTCCAACCCTTCCTCCTTATGGTGACAGTTGCCATCGGTGAAAACAGACATAGGTTTGATTTTTGCTGGGATGAAAAAAAACCCCCATTGTTCTACTTGCTCTTTTGTGTAATAGAGATATTTTTGCATTTAGTAGTTTGCAGGAGGCACGTAACCCTAAACACTGTACTTGTCGTCCTTAAGAAATTCACTCACAACTTCAGGGTACTTACTGAGCCACGGCTCAATGCAAACTATCTACGTGGTCAGCACTTAATACTGCATGAGAAGTTACAAACAGCGGCTATGGTAAGGATGTTTTGCTCTAGGTATCAGGTGTGGTTCAGAGCAGGTTCAAATCTGTGCTTAAATCTAACTTTGGGCACTGACTGGCTCCCTGCCAAACACCCTAGAGAGTTTCTTGGTGAATGTCTAGTGGCATGTAGGTGAATACAAGCAGTGACCATGTTGTTAGCTGCAAGATAAAACTTGTGTGTGTGGGTACATGTATATAAGGAGAGGCGTATTCCCCAAGAAATTTGGTCTAACAAATGCCTAATTGAAGTTACAGCAGTAAAAAAACCCAAACCAGTGCAGTTATAAATCACTCCTAGCGAGTGATTGCTTTCTTCAACCGGGGCTGGGAAAAGGCTAGAGCTGCTTAGCACCCAAGCTTCTAAAACCACATTAACTCCCAGTAACTGTGTAAAATTTTAACACTTCCCCCCCCCCTCCTTTACTGTTGCCAGGTCTTGAGGTATGTGCTACAAAACTTTCTTTTCTTAACTGTCTGATCACGTTAGGATGGAGCACAACGATGCTCAGCACCAGCGTAGCTTTAAGGTACAAGACTGTGTCAGAACAGGCCATCTATCACAAGGAGTGTGGAGTCACTGATACGGTTTGGTTCTTGTGTTTAGCTACACCCAAAGGGCAGCTGATGTGCTGTAACCTTAAGTCAGACCCCAAGCATCAATCTCCTTTTGATCAAAAGTAAAGTACCCCGAGTTCTCCTTACACCAGCCCTTGGGTACGCTCAGACGGGTGCCTCGCAGGTCCCCAGCGCTGACTGAGCTAACAAGGGCTCAGGAGCTATTGAGGCAAAATGCAGCCAACCTTAAGGGCTCATCTCTGGGTTTGGTGAAATCATAGGTAGGTCTGCTTTCTTTAAAGACATCCCAGGAAAAAAAAATGTTAAAGTGTGGGCGTACAAGAATACAAGATTCTAATGAACTGGTATATTCAGGCATTGTGCAGCTTTTGGCTTTTGTTTTCCTTCATGGTGGGTAGGAGGTAGAAGATACCCCTGTGTCTATGCCAGCTTTCCATATGCTTCAACACCAAAAGGGTCCTATTTTTTTTTTTCAAGTTTGCACAGCTAAACTGGAGGTGCTTTACGAGCTGGAGAGGAGAGGAAATGTGGCCAGGGAGAGAGAGAGAACAGCAGTAAATTAGCCCAGTCTCTTCACTGCTGCTGCACTTGGCTTTCAATGACTTTGCTGCCAGATAGTGCAACTCAGCTTTTAAGATTCTTTCTCTTTTCAATAATATAACTATTTATTTGTGATTGTAGTCTCCATGTTTTGGTGGAAGTAGGTTACAACTTGTCGGAGTTGAATTGTTACAATCTTTTTTTTTACTATCTAATAATATTGACATAAAAGCTGCAGTGAAAAATATGATCCAAGACACAGATCTTATGCTTAGAGCTCTCCACCTTGATCATGGTAATTCTTTCATGCTCAAAGGGTTTTTGTGTGTTTGGTTTATTTTAAATAAATGCCAGTGTATATACACACTGCACTTAGGTGATCTGTAGTACTTTTATAACCATCAATATCAGCATATATGATGGAGTAAGCCACTGATTAAATGCACCACACAGGTTTATTGCGCCATGCCAACTACTAGAATATTTCTTCACACACACGTGAGAGGACACAGTGAAGACCTGAAATGATTTACCAGATATACCCAACTTCAGAAGTCTTGCCCACAGGCAAGTTGAAGAGACAGAGATCTGTCTTACTGAGCCCCTTGGGATAACTGAGAGACAGTATCGTAGCAGTAGGCATGTATTGAATAAATAAGCATGCTGTGAAGAGTCACAGACTGATCATAACTACCAAAAGCTATTGAATGAAATAGAAAACAGTAATACACCAGCGTAGTAGGTTTGGAAAGGTCAACTTTTTTTAATAACTGCTCTTCTCTCCAGGCTATGTCATGCAGTTACAAAGTAGTTAGAAAAAAAGCATGAGTTTCTGGGAAGGACTAGTTGTCTTTAAAAAAAACATTCATATTCATTACATAAATAACATCTGGCACTTCAAGGGGACTCCACTGGACAAAAGCCTTACACTTTAAAAACTGTGCTTGATCCAATGTTGTGTTGAGGTTCATTTTGTTGTACTCTACGTTCAAAACTTTCACGACCTCCTGATGACAAAAAAAAAAGGCTGTGTGTGTTAAGACAGTGGATTAAGTTTATAGCAGCATTCTAGCTCTGCTGTAGATTGGCCAATGATTTCTGGGTTCAGTTTCACTTTAGTTGTTCACTGAGGCAGTATCTAATTTTCAGAAAGCCTCTGAAAGGAAAAGACTGAAACAGAATTCCAAAAAACCTAAGTATGATTGCTTACCAAATTCAGACTATCCTTTTTTTAAAAAAAGGAAAAAACCTATAGCCAGAATAGTTATGTAGGTACTTGATTAAAAACGTAACTAGAGTTGCTCGATAGTTTCAGCTTATAAAAATATTAGTCTGTCACCTCTACATACTTCACGGTGATAGTCAAGCTAGCTTGAACAAGCAGTAAAAGGCAGTCCTATTAACAGCAGCACGGTTAAAGAAAAAACGTTGCCTAAAGAGAATCAGGCCTGAACCTTTACTACAAATAAAAATTAGACTCCTATCAAAGTTAATCCCTGCTGGAGGCCCGTTCTTCCTTTGACAATGCCACAGCATTGATCATACAAGGCCTTACTGAAAGTGCCAAAGCGAAAATTACATCATTAAACAAAAGTGCATGAAGTAATAATGAGCTAAGTGCTCATCTAGTACAGTATCTGATCTGAAGTCTGAGAAGTGGCTCAGGTGGCAAGACCACTCTTTCATACATAAAATGTACCATTTTGTTTTGTAGGCGAAATACCCAGAATGGCCCCCACCAGTGCAGATGAACTGTCATCTTCAGATACATACTTGTATACAATTTCCTAATCCATGGATTTTTATTGTAAAAAAGACTAGTTTGGACTGAAACTAAAGAATAGAATCCACTATAATGTCAGAAGAAAAGAAAATTTTGTGGTTACATGTAAACTTGTGATAAGCTTTTTCAAGAAGAGGGTACATTAACGGCGAGAGGGATGGGATACAATAAGGAGCAGTAATGGCCTATTTATGTAAAGGTCAGGCCAGCCTCATTGTACACTTTGAAGACTTTCTCGATTGCATTGACGTAGGCAGCTGTTCTCAGGTCCAGACCCAGGTTGTACTTCATGGCAGTACGCATGATTTGCTGAAACAGAAAAGGTTACATGTGATTTCTGCAAGTTTCTCCATAGGGACTACGCTAGGTTTTGCTTAGAGGATCTGAGTTAGGAGTACAAGAGCTGCTGGATTGGTATCAGAGCTCAGATCCTTTGAGGATTGAGTCTAAAATTTCTTGATTCCCCTTACAGTTGAGATCCGAAAGGGAAGAAAATCTTTCCCACGTTACTGGATTGCCCCACTTCAAGTCTTGGATCCACATGCACCTCAGATACAGGAAGAGACAAGATGTCTCAAGTAGTCTTTGCCCCAGTAAATAAGAATACTGCATAAAGGCATTAATCTGAAACTGCTTGCTGGTGACAAAGTAAATCACTCTTAGGTATGTGTCCCAGAGTAGTCAGGTACACGAGGAAAACTAAAAATTTTCTAATTACTACAGCTTTTTCTAGAAAAGACTTCCTGATTTCATGTATTAGTCTCTAATGTTTACTGTACTCAAAGTTGCACATTCCTGCACTGAGCAGAAATACCTCATACTCACAGTGACTTCCATTTTCATGAACTGTTTATCTACTCCTTTAATTGCAAAGAAATTCTGCACCACACATTCAAAAACTGTTGCAAAGTCACATAAGTTCTTTTTCCTATAAGTACATTTACTAATGCAATATTTACCCGGGCAGAACGCTCCATTGTATAAGCCAACCCAGAGTGGACAATGTCTTTCTCAGACGCACCCTGCAACAACAGCAAATAAAACCAGGGTTTAATTCAAAACACAAAAAGGTAGTAGTCATATACCGGGGACAATGACATGTTGGATTCCCATAATAACTGAAGTTTGCTTGCTCATTTTCTTCTAATGACTGGTGTAAGGAACTAAATTGCCCTTACTGTGTTACTTGAAGAGCTAATTATGGTCAATTCAATTATAAAACCTGATGTAAGCACTGGAGTCTTTCATATGCCTACCTTCTAGATGGATGATGCTAACATTTTTTATTGATGTAGTAACCACGCAGTAAATGCTAAACAACAAAAGCTTCCAAGAGTTAATAACCTATAGAAACTAATTCCAATCATTTTGAAGACTGTCAGGTTTTAGGAAGGGCATAGATACCCAGTTCACATACTCAACACTGTACTAGCCCTCAGCAATTCCACAATAACTTTGTTCCCATTAGAATTTAAATACACAGAACAATAAATAATTGAAGACAGTCATTCTAATTCAGGCCATCAGCTTCGATGTTCCATTATCCTGACTGTTGTAACTTACTTGTATCAGAAATAGTGCAGCCAGCAGGACTAGGGAAGTGATTTTTCCCCTGTACTCGGCACTGGTGAGGCTGCACCTCAAATACTGGGTTCAGTTTTGGGCCCTTCACTACAGGAAGGACACTGAGGGACTGGAACATGTCCAGAGAAGGGCAATGAAGCTGGTGATGGGTCTAGAGCACAAGTCCCATGAGGACTGGCTGAGGGAACTGCAGTTGTTTAGCCTGGAGAAGAGGAGGCTGAGGGGAGACCTTATTGCTCTCTACAACTACCTGGAAAGAGGTTGAAGTGAGATGGGGGTCGGTCCCTTCTCCCAGGTAATGGGTGATAGAACAAGAAGAAATGGCCTCAAATTGCGCCAGGGGAGGTTTTAATTAGATATTAGGAAAAATTTCTTCACTAAAAGGCTTCTCAAGCATTGGAACAGGCTGCCCAGGGAAGCCATTGAGTCCCATCGCTGGAGGTATTTAAAAGACATGTAGATGTGGTGCACAGGGACATGGTTTAGTGGTGGACTTGGCAGTGTTGGGTTAATGGCTGGACTTGATGATCTTAAAGGTCTTTTCCAACCCAAACAATTCTATGATTCTAGTAATTTGAGACCTGGCTTCACAAAGTACATGCTTTTCCTCAAATACCAGTTTGGGATGGATGTAGAAATGACTAGGCCAGTTTCTACGGCTTGTGTTTAAGAGGTCACAGCAATCACTTTAAGCCACATCTACCATGCTATTCATTCAGCCTAACATTTGTGAAAATGCTAGTATCGCACTGGATCAGGCTGAAGTCTATTGCTATCATCTCACAGTGGCCAAGTTTATATGCATCTCCCCCAATTTCTTCCTGAGGAAGTATGGTTTAATGTTTTTCACAACTCACTGGTTTGTTTCCCCCAATCATTTGTCCCATCTCCTCCTGAATTTGTGTTAAAAAACAAACTGACCAGCCCTTTTAGCTTCCATATGTCCCCTGGCAGGGTATTCCACATCTTACTGTCTGCTGTGCTAGGAACCATCCCCATTCTTCATTCTGCTCCTCACTCTACCAGTTTTGTTTGACAGCACCTCATTCTCCTTTACCCTTCCTTCCGCTGGACAGTCTATCCCTACCCATCCACTTTCACACAACTCATTCTGTGGATTACTGCCTCTACGTCACAGCTATTTCAGGCCAGTAGGACCTAGGTTAGTTCACTGTTCCGTGTATGAGCAGCTTTCATACCTTTGATTATTCTTGTGATCTTGCTCTGAACTTTCTCCACATCTACAGTGTTTTAAGACACAGAGACCTAACCTGCATGCAGTATTCAGAAAGCAGACACACCCTGGGTTTATACTGTGGCATCATTAGTCAGTCTTATTCTTTTCCCTTCAGAACAATCTCTAATGCTGGATTTGCTTTTGATTGCTATGGATTTCTAAGCTTATATTTTGTCATTATCTCCAGATCTTCCATTTGAATGCAAATGGGTGAGCTCACAACCCATCATTTTATGAGAATTTCCCCACCATGGATTGCTACGCATTAGATTATAATGAATTGTACCTGACATTTCTTTGCTTGTTAATTCAGTCTTAGAAGAACGTTCTACAATTTCAGCTCTTGTCTATATTACAGAAACAGCATACAAACTGTCTGTGGCGTGGGATCTTGTTGAAAGTTGTTTGGAAATCTAGGCAAACTATATCAACAAGATCTCAGAACAAATTCTGGTAATGTTTGAGGCAGTATTTCCCACTACAAAACCTCCATAGACTGTGATAGCTAGGGTTCAAAGAAATTATGGAATCTATGTATCTGTCAGGTTAGTCAGCAGAAATATCAAGTATTTAATAGCAAACAAAAGCATCAGGAAAAAACACAGGGTTTTAAGTTTTCCTTACTGGCCTGCAAAAAATAAATAAAAAAAAAATCATTCCCTGCACCCTCTCTAGTACAAAAAATTCACATGGTTTGTCTAAACAATGGAGATAATTTATTGCTCTGAAAAACTCCCTTACATGAATGGCAACATGCAATCTAACACTAGTTACAAATAAAAAATGCATCTGTGTTAAAACTGTAGCTTTTTAACAACATTGGAGGTATTTCGCATGGCTCAAGCAAAATAAGGAAAAAATAGCTTACTTCCAGTACTCCTAAGCAGTTCAGATCATTTACTTGGCTTTATTTGTTTGGCCATCAGGCTAACGGTGAGTAATGCCTTGCTTGGGGCAAAAACCTCCGTAATGGTAAAGTGGTAAAATTTAGGTTGCAGTTATTATATCAGAATACAGTAACCATAAAAAAAAAAAAAAACAAACAACAGCAACTACTTACCGATATCCTATCTTGAAATTCTGCTGTAGGCACAACTGGAATAGTTCCACCGTGTTTCCCAAATTTTCTTTCCAAGCTTTCCTGGACAGACACTAGAAAGGAAAATAAAGCAGAGGCAAGGTAACCAACAAGGCAAGTGCTCCCTAACAAAGGAGCTGACCCCAGGACTTTCAGCATCCATTTGCATTAAATGCAGACTACAAGATTTGGGGACAGAGGGACTCATCTTGATTTTGTTTTCTAAGAAAAGGGAAAGATGTTGATTTATCTGGGTTTATAGATGAATGCCTCCAACATTAGAAGCAATATTGCTATAGTACAGGCACATGGCAATCAACTGTGGATTTACTGATCCCACTTCGGTAAACTCATAAAGCTGATAGAGCAAACTGGATTAACTTTCCTAACTTGACAGATAGCATTAGACAAAATATTTCTTGAAGTTAAAGCAATCAATTATTTCTTATTGCACTTCGCATACACACAACTTGCTAAGAAAAAAGCCCAATGTGGCATTTTAGGTTTTTCCCTTAAGACATGAGAAATGTTTTGGTATTTTGAATTGATACTTATTTCATGTTAATTCTTGTAATTTAATTAGTAAGCTTTCCTAAACAACATCACATCACATTTCAGATGATGCAATTTTGAAGAAAGGGATTTAAATTAGAATTGCCATTACCCTCAACCACTTTAAGACAGACCTCAAAAGATATAATTTATGAGAAAAGGTTTTATTAAAAACCACCCAGATGTATGTTTTGTCAAGTCCTACACCCTGAGATGCTCATGTTTTCTACAGAGTATTCTTTAAAACAGAGCAATATCCTGCAGTTCTTCTCCATTAAGCTGCTTCTCCCCATGTAATTGGTATTCTGGCCCAGAAACTGGGAAGTACAGAATAGCCGTAAGTGGAGCTGTAGGCCATAAGCAGATTTTTACAGCACCTGTACCAGTTATTTTATTACCCTTTATAGAAACCCTCTATTGTTGTATGTGCAGAAAAATCTTACCCACTCAAACTTTGAAAACTTCTCAAATACCAAGTGTACAGTTGAAAGACATTTATTAAGAAGTAATAAATATTTCACATAAGTGGTTTGAGTTCAGTATTTTCACAAAAGTGAGGAAAGCATCACTTTATGAATTAAAAGATAACTGAAAAAGTATGCATTTAAGTCATTAGAGTTGCAAGTCTGTCAACCTATCAAATCTTTCCTACTCTTCAGTAAGCAGCAATAGCAGATTTGTGGGAAATTAAGGTGAATTTAAAATACTTTTGTATTCATTTCTCCCACGTTTGGTCCTTGCTAGTCCAATCTATCAATTAAACAGCGAAAGCGGAACCGAACACTTACTGAGCAAGTGGTAGTTTGAATCCCTTTCATATTTAAAAGTCAAGCGACCATAGCTGACGTGGTTCAAGTTTTTCAGCCACTCAAAATAGGATACTGTTACACCACCAGCATTCAGGTAAAGATCCTGCACAGAAATAGTAAACATCTTGAATTGTGACCATGTGACGAAGACAGCTCCATTGTATTAAGGAAAAGCAAGCCGAAGTATTAAGTACAAAGTATTAGTTTAAACTGCAGTGCAGAAGACAATCCAGTTGTTATTCTTATACATGACAACACTTATCCTCTTCTGCAGTCCAGGGGTTACTTCTACTGATTTAGAAGAGGTCTTGACTTTAGAACATGTGAAGTTCAGGTGTGCTTGACTGACTACTTTCTTTTATTTTAGCACAAGTTTTCAATCAAGAAAGTCAGGGCATTCGTAGGCCATCTCAGTGAGTAAAGGCTGAAGATCAGCCACTCCTAGCAGTATCACTTGATCAGGACACCCTTTCTCTGGGAAAAGGGTATCGTTATACCTGGATAGGTCTTATTCTTTCAAATTATCACTACAGGCAACATTTACACTATACAAACTATGATAGGCAGGTCTGTCACTGCATTGCATTGCCCAGAGACACAATGTTTACAAAAAAATTGGACAGTGTGTTTGCTCTGCCTTCTTCCTTTGCTTAGTGGACTATTCAGAGCATTGCCCAGAGACACAATGTTTACAAACAAACTGGACAGTGTGTTTACTCTGCCTTCTTCCTTTGCTTAGTGGACTATTCAATTGAGCAAATGTAGCCAATATTCCAAAATACAAACCTACAGATTTAAGAACTAATTGTGGATTGTTCTCTCTTCCCAATAAGTAGCCTCATGTAATCGTTATCAATGGTCATTTACACTTGCAGTGAGATCTTTAAGTAATTACTATCAATCTTAAGCAACATCAACACGCCCATTTTCCAGACATCAGTTATTAAAAACCACTCTAGAAGAATGAATGGCTATTAATAAAAACCTTCAATAAATAATGTCTTGCTACAATTTACAAAAATATTACCCTTGTAATGAAAATCAAAGGTCATAATAGAACCTTACAGGGATAACCATGATATTCCGCTCCAAGAAGATTTTGTCAGCTTCAGGAGTCGTAGGGCCATTGGCACCTTCAGCAATAATCTGAAAGAAATCACAGCAGAGTAACTCAGAGGCATGTGTTAGTTTCCATCCATGCTAATTACCAAACACTAGTATTTAAACAGGTCTTCTCTACTTTTCATTTGCATTTGAACTCTCCAACTTACTTTTGCTTTAACCTTGTGAGCGTTGGCCTTAGTCAACTGCTTCTCGCTGGCAGCAGGGATGAGAATATCACAGTCTGTTTCCAGAATACTGCCCTCAAGTGTCTGTGCTTTAGGGAAGCCCATGATTGTCCCGTGTTGCTGTTTGAAGGACACAAACCAGAGTGGTTTTAGCGTGTGTGTGCGTGTACTCGTTTGACTCCCTTCCCTTCCTCTAACTTTCAAAAAAGAAAGAAGGGAGAAGCAACAGTACTAGAAAAACAGCACATAACATAATTCCTATCTTTTCTTAGATTAGGCATAAAAAGCAAGCTACAAAGCTTGGCTAACAGTCCAAGTTGCCATGACTGAGGCATAACTCTCTCTGGACAGAGACACTGATAATCATTTGGGCTCTTGAGTATTTAATTCTTTTGAGAAAGGGGTGATAATGACGTTCAAATCCTCCCTATGTAAAAAACAACACATCAATTAAGCCCCTTAGAAACTCTAAGTGCGAGACTGTATTTTAGTGGCTGTGAACTGTCCCCTCGAGACTGCTTCAATTGGAAACTGAAAAAAAAAAAGACCATACCGAGTTTTCATTATAAACTACATATTAAAGTCACACTGCCAGACAGATTTTCATTTTTTCAGAAACATTCAATAAGTAAGAAGCAGCAAAAGTGCACTTTGAAGTCTTAGATGTCCACATGCTTGTGATTCTCAATCAGGAATCCTTTAGGAACCTCCTTGCCCTGGTTCCTTAATAAATCCTTCCCAGTTTAGTCATAAGAAAGGCAAAATAATCAGGAACTCCAATTCTGAAAACAAAGTAATTAGCCTGCACACATGCAAGCCCTTGCTATTTTTCTGAGAGTCAGGTCAAATGGTGAAAACAGTACAATGTTATAAACCTAAGAGACAGCCAAAGCCACAAGACCAATTAGCACTCACCACCTGCATTCATATTGGGGATAAGGAGAAAGCCAGAAGAATCAACACTCCTAAGCCATTTTGTAAGTACTAATTGCAGCATGATTTAAAAATCACAAATTAACACCAGTCTACAGTCATCCTATGTGCTTGCAAAGCTGACAAAAATGAAACTATTTCTGCTCAGCTAAATTTCATACCAATTTGTAATCTTCTAGTTCCTTTGGGTCAATCCCATCAGGATTCCAGATAGAACCATTAAACTCTCCAACAGCAACGCACTTTGCTCCAAAACGATGCAAGTATCTCATAGAATGCAAGCCCACGTTACCAAATCCCTGAAGGTGGAAAGGGAGACAGTTAACCCTTCAGCAAAAATGATGATTACTGCTAAGGATTATATAGCTTTAAATAGCTTTAAATAGTTCCTCATCTATTGGCATATCTTGGCAATAGATGATGTTTATAGGAAAGTTGGAAGAAATCTACGTGTATTCTATTCTAGTCTGAATACCACTGTAGAAATTATGCATTATAGCCAGCAGTGTACAGTTGTGCTAAATGTTTTATACTGGAAATACAGAAGGGAAGCGTTAATGCTACTATGAAAGTGTCAAAAGTATGATATTTATCAACATAGGAACATTAAGTGTATCTATTTTATAACTGGCACTGTCTTAGAGGTATTCATGGATTTTTGTATGATTATCCAAAGGTTTGACTAGCATTTGCAGGCCAAGAAATATTCTCATTTAATCTGGGTGAGGAAGGCTCACAAGTGTAAAACCTAACCCACAACGGAAAGCATTAAACAAGAATATCATTAATTCTTCACATTAAAACATACAAACTAGTAGGAAGCTATGTCACTTCTAATACATTTCTGAAGTGGGCCTGTACAAAACAGATTGCCTAAATTTAAAAGTAGATAATTTTGCATTTATTTAGCATTTTTTACATCCTTACAGGTGTAGAAAACCTACTTCCAGGCCATTGTTCAACGTTCTGGAAGTAAAGGAACACACGTGGCAGACTAAAAGGTCCCATGATCCACGTCAAAAGTTTATATTAAGATTCTATGCTGGAAAAAAGCTGAATATTAAATTCCTGTATAACACAGCTCCAATCATAATTAGGATTTTTGCTTATATGTTAGAAGCAAATTTCAGTGCAGCACTTTGTCATGCATTAAGTCTCTTTGCAATGCTTTATCCTTGTTTTCCTAGAAAAATCTTCAGCTGTCCTTATGGCCATATTTTCAATCTAAGTGCCTGTAAAGTGCCCCTGCCAGGCATGAAAATGCCAAAGTGCACAGACATGAGTGTGCTGCTGGGTCCGTGCAGGGCAGAGGTGTTTGTTTCATCCCACTGGTTAACTAGAGGACAACTTGGAGGTTACAATTACTCTGCTATTTCTAACAACCAGTGCATTGGTACTAAAAACAACAAAACAAAGCAATCCCTCAAATTCTCCATTTAACACAGTGTTTAAAGCTGAACAGAACAAGTTATTTCTTCAAAATTTTAAGGACATTAATGCATATCACTGAATATCAAACCCCTTCAAAATTCAACTACGCATGTCCTGAAGTTTTATGAGCACCAAAAACGTACATTCAACCCGACGAATTTAGGATAAGGTATTGTTTCCTACTTTTCCAAGTGCTCATTCCATAGTAGAACAAGAACATAACCCCCAATTCCTTCTCTCTCTAAATTTTTTTATTACAGAACAGTGCAACAAATTCTGTGTAGGCAGAAACAGTGACACAGCTCACTGAAAACTGTGCAATGCCTTAGTTTAAAGAACTCCCATAATAGTATTTCACTTTTTTCTTTGCAGCCTATGTTTATAAAGACTGGAGATTTGGCTTTGTGCCTGTAGAGTGCAATTGAAAGTTCAGTTTTTATAAAACAGTTCAAAATGAAGGGCACCTACGTTGCTTGAAAAGTGTTTCTGAAGTTTGAGAGTAAAGGTTAACTTGGAAGTCATAAAACCCTAACAGGGTTTATTGCTACGTCCCTTTTTAAAAGCAGTTCTACTGGAATTTTGTTTACTACTTTGTCCCTGCAGTTGAAGGAAAAACGTTACCTGAACAGCAAACGTTTTATCCCCAAATCCAGGGGTCATTCCTAATATACTCATATATGATGCTTCATTGATGAAGTTTTCAATTCCATGGAAGAGGCCACGACCAGTTGCAGATATACGTCCATGGATCCCACCCTGGCTGATGGGTTTACCAGTTACGCATGCATGTGCGTTAATATCCTGTAAAACAGTGAAGGGCTGGTGAGCTATGGAACAAATCAGACAGCTGGAGCAAGGAGTTTTGTACACTTCAGAGATAAGAGAAAACAGGAATCGTAGGAGTCAGAACGTGGTATAGTTTATATACATTTAGTTTGTAAAGATGATTTCCTTCCTGAACTGGTGTGAACACCTTCTCAGAAGTACTCTAGTAGATGTCAGGAAAGCTTCATAATGCAAGATTGGATATGCTCTGTAATTTTTTGTTGTATTTAAGTGTATATGTTATCTTCAGTCTGTGGTTAATTATGGGAATGGCCATGTTGCACTGTTAGGAATGAGCAGACCTTTGACAAATCAAAAAGCTTTGAGGGACATGTTTCTCAAAATTAGCTCCTATTACAGCCATAATTTACATCACTATTCTTGACATTTTAATCTTATTTACTACTTTTATTCAGAAAAGCAATATATACAATCAAGATTCTATCATTAATTTTATGTTAATAAAATTAAATTTTCCATATGCTGGACAGCTAGCCAAGATAAAATAGACTATTTAAAACCAGAGTTAAATTTTCAAATCAAAATTAATAACTTGAAAAAACTTCTAAACTAGACAGTGTTTGGGCATTCCTCTGCTGTCACCACTGGTCCCAGTGCTCCCACACCCTGGGAGCACAGTCACACAGTGGCTTGGCATCCAACACAAGTGAAAGAGTAGGGATGAAAGGGAATCCACCGAAATGAGTCTGCCAGCAACCGGATGGGTTTCTATTCCACCAGCCACATACTCACTAGGAGGCTCCCTCCTCTCCACCACTTGTGCCAAATGCATTTGCATGCCTGTGGCATGAGCACGAGATGCTTGGTGAGAGGAAGGAAAGAAGCAGACAAAAGTAAGTGGAGGCAGAATGGCAGGAGATTACTAGAGCCGTAATGGAAACAAAAACTATTTATTCTTTCAAAATGATAGTGAGTTAACCATATAAAGCCAAAGATAACCCCTCTTTAAAAACAATAAAAGTGATGCTGGGCTTGCCACAAAATTTGTAATTCAGCTTCCCGAAATGTAGCTGTGTTGCTGTCATTAAGCTGTATGCTCCCTCTGGTGGCATATCGACTGTAAACAAGATCTGTGGTGGTGTTTTGCTAGAGAAAACTTGGCCTGGCATTTTGATGTATTTTTAGGTTTTCATTCCGTTTCAGACTGAAACTACATAAGAATGTATTTATTTAAGTCCCTTCACATGTCTCAAAAGTCAGTTGGATAAGTCAGGAAGTACAGAAGCGTGGAAAAGATGAACTTAATCAAAAACTTTAGCCATATATAAGTCAGTGATCCAGCAACTTCAGATGGATTTTCTGGAACAGTTAACATGGTAGTTAAAGACTTGCATGGTTTGGCAAGAAAACCAAGCATGAGGTGAGGGCATGTTCCTGAAGTCACATATACAAACCACAGTTGATGTCAAAGTCCTAAAATCTCTGGTTTTAAGTCAATCAAAAAAAATGTTTAACACATCTTGGGACAAAAAGAAAGACTAAGGCTTTTAAGGAGAATGTAAAATGGCTTATGGGTAGCATTAAAGACTTCTGTATCGGTTATAATAGTCTTGAACTTAGTTGGCAAAGTTCAGACACTGAACTTTTGCTTGTTTCTTAACCCCTTTCCACGCTGCAATAATATTCTCCTTGGCTCTCCAGCTTCCTGGCTTTGTATCTTAGGTTTTGAGTAGACTTCCCCTATCTGTTTATACCTGTTATTTGGCTTTTCCTTTCCACTTCGAGCTCCCTGAACACATCTGTGTGCAACACACTGACTCATCAGGTCTGTAGATTCCTTGCCGAACAGTTATCTTTCCACTCAATTGAATGTAGTCTCTCATGGTTTCCATCTGTTTTCTGAATTATGGTTAGTTTCAGTTCTGTCCAATGGTCATTTTCTCCTCCTAGTTCCCCTTCCCTCCTTCCCCCATGGTCTCTTTTATACATCTAGTAGTTCCTTAATCGCCTTTATTTTTGTTCTTGGTGTCTCAACCAGATAGTTATCTGAAACATCTTCCTCTACAAACTGGTTTTCATAGGTTATTCCACTTTTTTCAGCCTTGTCAGACTTCCCACCTTCCTCCTCTGCACCTGGTCATTCTCCGCAATAGCTCATAAGTTCTACTATGCCTACCGTTCTCTCTTCCATGTACAAACAAGCAACCCAGCAAAATTAAGTAAACTAATTTTTTTTTTTTTCCTTATTTCAATTTTTTAATTCACTTTTCAGAAATATGTACCTAAATCCTCTCAGGTTTTTTTGTTCTTCAAAAATAAGATACTGCCATGCAGAGAGGGCCTAGGAATAAAGAAGCTGTTGTAGCGTAATTCAGATTGTACTTTTATCCTCAGTAGTTGTTGGTGTGGTTTTTTGTCACTGAAGCATGTGTATGTGTAGGACTACACAACAAGCTGAGATGACAAAGTGGAAAGAATAAGAAAGTCAGCCATTCAAAAATCTTCTCCTGTATCAGTGTTTAGTTTTCCACCTACTAAAAAACCTGAAGCTTCTGTATAAAACTGTATGTGAACTATTAACAAATACAGCAAATCTTAAAGCAGGTCATATGCTGGGAGCCTTCTGTGTTCAGTCGTAATATAGCAATGCTGTTGTATCACAGTGAAATATGCATTTTAGTGCAATGAATTAAATGTTAAAACTCAAAATGCTTTGAGGCAGTAGTTTTCTTAAATGTTGGAATTTTAAGTTATAACTGGGGGAGCAAGTTGCCACTCTGCATGCTGAAGTCTTTTTGAAGTCGTAATTTTGGGGTTTTTATCAGGTTTAAAGTTTTAAATAGAATATTTACATTTTCGTAAGTGAATAACAAAAAGCAAGCAATGTTTTATGATGATATCCCTATCTAACAGACAGCTCTGTGTAAAAGTGATTTAACTCAACTAATCAGCATGCCAGAGCCTATTCCTCAAGCATTCCTTTCCCCCCCCCGCACAAGATACCTTAGACTGTATTTCAGATCTAGAAGAACTTGTGCCATCCCCTCCTCCTATTGTTAAAGGCCAGAACAAGACAAGTATTCTGCCAAGAGACTGTCTCAGGAAAGCCAGGCACGTCTTGAACAGGCATGCCAGTGAGAAGTACGTGTTGCGTGGCTCTAATGTCTTATTGCTGGTGGTGTTTCTGAGGGACTGCTGGAAGAGACTGCAGAAAGTGCAAAGAAACAGTCTTTTCCATTCAAAAGGAGCTGAGATAGGCAAACATGTGATAGCTTAGCATATCAACACACTAATACCAAGCTATGGCAAGACTCCTTAGCAAAGTATGACCTGCTGGAGTAGCAGAGAGAGAAGCTAGAAAGTTTGGGTAGCATGGACAGTACAGCCTTAAGAATTAAGTTGTCTGTAATACATTTTCCTTTCATCCAAACTGTTGAAAGTATACAGCAAAAGCGTTTGGTTAACAGTCATGTTTTTGGTACAGTCAAAACAGGTACAAATAACCCCAGCAACATAGGGGCAAAGGCCAAATTAAGGGCTATAATTAAAAACTAATTTTTAAAAACTTAAACTTACTTTTTATTGCCTTCTGGGCAATAAATTGCTTCAGTGTCCTTCTGCTTTACATTTTGGAAAATTTGCTGAAGTTTACACTGATTACTTGTTACTTTTAGGGGATCACAGAGAACTTAAATACTTTTACAGATTATACCAATAGTGCAAACTTAATTTACATGGTCTCTTCAACGCACAAAACCAGAGCATTTATTTAATAACACTTGTAAATTCAGTAGTCTGAAATGGAAAGATTTCGGTACTTTAGGACTATACCAACTATTATGAACTATTTGTTTAATAACGTTAAATTAGTAATTACGGTACTAATGAAAAACAGAGGGAAATGGTAGAAATAGAAATCAATTTTAGACTAAGTATGAGACCTTTAAAAACAGTGTATTTTCTTTTTGCAGAACAATTGCAATTGGTATTATATCAAATGTAATTTAAGCCTAGTATAAAAATGCTAACCTTAAAGCTATTTTTCCTTAACTGTACCCCAAAAACCTCACACCAATTAAGTTGTTACAGTTTTCAAGAATATATTTAGATCCATGTAATTAAATAAAATTATATTATTAAGCAGCATGGTAAGAAATTTCTAGATAAAATGATTTCTGCAAAGATCAAGGAAACTTTCCTACTTTCAGCCTCTGCTGAAAACTCACATAGTGTCCTATGGTACTGGCATAGGTGTCGGCAATCCAGGACATCTCCCTCTCCCCTGTGCTCATATCAGGAGCAGGCACATCAACACCAGGTCCTGTTGGCAACAATGGAAACAGCTTTTAAGGATCAGACATGAATAGTTATCTTCAACCATTATTCCCTTGGGAACTGTGCAGGGCTTGGCAGAGAAGAACTGTTTTCCTGTTTAATCCTCAATTTATTATGCAATCAACAGATTCTTCTGGATTCAGTTCAGTTTTAGATGTCATATCACGCATTTGTACAGTATTGTCAAAACCTCCAACCTTTCACGCAAGCCATTCAGTAAAATGAAGGTCAGTTTGTCAATAAAAAGTCAGAGCAAGATAATGCAACAAAAGCTTTTTTTTTTTTGACGATCATTGCTGCAACAACAGGAAGGGCGCTATCTAGATATGATTTCTATATACTGTGATGTTAACCGGATTTTTTTTGCATTAGAATTTCCTTTTTGTTCCTGGGTGAGTTCAACAATTGAAGATAGGCTGTTCCTAGTCATTGCACTGTAGCACATGCCATGCATTTGATTTTACCCCTCACTTCAAGAAAGAGACACGACATCTTTCGTGATGACATAAACCTTTGAAAGAACTTTCACACAGCTGTTGTAAAAGCAAATCCTGTCTGTATTTTTCTAGATAACAAAAAATAGCATTTGCCCAACCTATTTATGATCAGAGGGACTTGCTCAGCAAGATTTTAAATACAACTCTGCCTCTACTAGTTTTTTTTGCTAAGTATTTTTAAAAGGTTTGTGAAAGCTGCATAGCACCAACCACAGAGCCAAAAAGGAAGAAAAATTTAATCAAACCATTTTAACTGTCACTGAACTAATAATCACTATAGCTGGCATAGTGTATAGTATTCCCCTAGTCACATGTAACATCAATAAGCATGTTTATACAGAAGCTTAATTTAGATGAGAAACACTCTGGCTGAAAGTACAGATGACAAATGCTCTGGCTGAGGAGCAAGAAAATGCAGATAAATGGATATACATTCCCAGGGGGAGTTAGATATCAGGAATAGATGACAGACTCTAACTAGTTACAGGCCGCATTATTCAGTCAAGTAAGAACCTTCTCCAGGTAAAGATCCTCCATGTAATGACAAGTCAAGCTAGTAACATTGAGCTTTCTCCAGAGCAGACTTCCAGAGAGCAACTCCAGACAGCAAGCTATCAGGACAACCCAGGGCTGAGAGCCTGAAACACCTACTAACATTACAGAAGCAACAAGCACCTATGCTTCTTGCCTATGCTTCTCTTGCAGCCTGTGGTTGCCATGGGTGAAGCCATCAGCTTTCTCTGGGGTGGATCTTCTGTTTCCTTCCTCTGTTTCCTCAGATATCTGCCAAAAGCCTCCACTGAGGCTACAGGAAACAGTAACAGTGAAGAGCCTGATATTAAGAGACTAAAATTGCAACAAACTTGGTCACGATTTTATAGTCTACCTCTAAGAGAAATGTGATTCATTTTGGATCCTGTGAGCTCAGCTTTTGCGGCTTTTCATAGCAGAACAGCCACCAGAAAAAAGTTAAGGCATGGTTCCCTTTAAAATGCACCAAGATGCAATGACTCAATTCTTTGTGGCTCTTTGCTGGAAGGTCTATACCCAAATTATTTACAGCAGTCAAAACTACGGTTATTTAAGGATACCATCTAGTGGACGCTGCCAATGCACAATAAATCAGATTCCTAAATTTTAATAGTAAAATTGCACAACATACCAATAAAGCCCTTTTTTGCCAGCTCCATGGTGAACCTTCTTGTGATCTTTTCCAATTCATTGTCCTATAGAGAAAATCCAATAAATATCACAAGAAATCATTAGTGTTCAAGAATATTTGCTAGAGCTTATGCCCAAACATAAACAGACACCCTTTTCTTTCAGAAGAAAGGATGATTCATACATTTATCTACTTTATATGCCACTCTCTAACAGACCCTTGGTACTCAGGCAGCACGAGGAAGCATTGGGTTTTCTTTCCGTACATTCTGATCCACAGCCCGGGGGTGTGGCACAGGAAGAACCACCTGTGCTTGCGGCAGAGATTTCCAGCAACCAAATCTGATATCCTATGCGAGAGATTTACAACCAGCAACAGCAATGCCAGCCTGACAGTTGTATATTTGACACAGTAGAACGACTTCACACAAATCCTTACAGGAGTTTCGAGCTCTGAATATCTGTTATGTATTCTAGTATGCCTTTCTGTACAAGTTATTTTAATTAGGGCAAGAAGGCAAGCCTGCAGTAAACCTTTTATAAGCCAAGTTAGTTATTATTCACACTGGAACACTGCATAGAAAGGTTTAATGGAGCATAAAACTATTTGTCAAAATAAACAAAAACATTAACTTTTTTCTAAGAGTAATTTAAATTAAGCCTTTATTAACAGTATCAACTTTAAAAAAAAAAATCAGGTTCCAAATTATTTGTAGTCTTCTGACTTGAAGAAAAAAAGTAATAAATTAAGTAATTGAAGTATTCCACCTCTGAAACACACACCTTTTAAAAATGCTTTTCCTATCTATTGCATGCACAAGCTAAATTCAGCCTTTACAGAGGCAGAAGCGGCAGGAAGTTTTAAGTGGTCAATGCCCTTAGAAGAGTTTTTTTAACTGGCTGGCTTCAGTACTGCAGGTAACCGAATTTTTATCTATGATTAAGCTTACTGTGTAGTTCTTGGGATTGATCTTGACACCAGCCTTTGCCCCACCAAATGGCACATCTATAAGAATGCAAAGGAAAATCATTTTACTTTATCAACAATAAAGGCAGAACACATCAGTAGTATGTGTGAGGAATTATATCTTTGATTTTAGCAGTGAATTTGGTTTTGCCACATTTAGGGCTTCGCAAGCATAAGCTGTAATGTCATATAGGTACTCCTATAAAAATGGGATATCTTTCAAGGCCAGCTTGAAAATGGTCTTTGAAACTCAGAAGTTCATGATTTAAATTTTCTACGCTTCAAGCTCTTGTACTTGGCACTCGTAGAAACAGTAAGTTTTACAGTTTATATTTTACTGGTTTAAGCTCAAAAAACGTTACTTTGGAAGTCCTAAGTGAAGTGTCTCTATATACATTAAGAAGCGTTTTGTTTTCTTACACATAATGTGCAGATTCTCTCCAAACTCCCCTACACATTAGCAGCCACGTATGAATTATACTTCTTTATGACCCATAAAGGAATTTTATCCTTCTCTCTCCACAGCTCCCCTGCCTGAATCCTTTACAGACTCCGTCTGTTCCCCCTAAAATTAGCCCCCTCCTAATCAGAGTTTGCCATACGTTGATTTGACTTCAAGACTTTATGGGAGTAGATAACTAGCAGAATTGGACTTTTCAAATTAAAATGTAACTTTATACAAGTATCTACAGTAACAACAGAGGGAATATGTGTTATTATTTTGGTCACTATACATTTTTTTCCCCACCTTGCTGCAGATTTTAGTCAGATTACTGTCTAAAACTTAATTTAATCCTTTAGATGCTTTTCTGTAAATTACATCAGTAGTGATTGAAATTAAAGATTGTATCCTTGCTTGAAAAATTATCACTTACCAACCACAGCACACTTGTATGTCATTAGAGATGCTAAGGCTTTCACTTCATCCACACTAACATCCAAACTATAACGAATACCTGCAAGAGACACATGAGAAAAAAAGGAATTAACTGAACAACAATTCACTGAATGAACTTATAAATGCACAGGTATTTATAAATGGGGAAAGTTAAGTCTAGACCAGACATCTATACCATGTAAGTATGGAATTTATCAACAACTTTGCTTTAAGGCTTAAAGAACAATCCCCACTCTCCTACTTAAACATCTATCTCTTACTTAGCAGATATTCAAGACTTCAGCAATTCTCTAGTAAATAGTTTAACAGCAGCACTCAACCTTGGAGCAAAAGTGAGTATTCCTTGGGAGGAAGATGAGCCGAGCTGATAGGTAACTCTGAGCAGAATTTTCAAGAGGCTGATAAAGCTCATCAGCAACCCATAAGATCTTTAGCTTTGGACTTCATTCGTTGTATATACAAGATGAACTTTGCTCCTGAACGTAATTAATCAGTACAGGTTATAATCAAGATCTCTTTGCCAAAGTAACATGAGCTCCCGTTAAGTTATGAGCCTTGCGACACATTGGCTGTGGTCCAACAAAACCACACAGAGCTTCAGAGCTCTGGCTGCTAGGCACAGCCACATAAGAGAAAGCAGCAAGCCACTCCACTAACTCAAATTTGTTCAAAACATTTTGATGCAATTACTCTACCCTGGCAAGCTTGTGTGACCAGGCCACTCATCCCACACCCGCGTGGAAGCCAGCCCACGCCTGCGTTCCTGGCTCCGAGTCATTCAGCAGAACTGCAAGCACGTGCTGACGCATGGCCCAGACGCAAATTCAAATTGTTGTGGTCTGATAGCGCCTCAGGTGCAAAACGGGTTGTCCCAGCTATCGAGGCAGTTCAAAACTGAGTGGAAAATGATTACACAAAGGTAGGGAGATCTGTCACCTGCCTGACTCTTACCAGTCTCCTAAAAAATGGGTTGTAGTTGTCCAGTAAATTGAACTCAGAGTTAAAATTCATGTATTCTGGAGTTAGTTGCGGAGTAGAAAATGCTTAACCAAACTGACAGGGCACATATACAGAACTACGGAAGACTGAACATAACGTTTAAGATCAATACAGTGCCCAAAGTCATGTGGCCACAGCAAAAAACCAAAAAACAACCCCTACAGCTGTACATTAGCTTGTATCCAAGCTTCTCCTACATCACTAGGCATATAACAGAACCACGAAGAATTCATTATCCCCACCTCTCCTCCCCAAATCCTTGGCTGTAGGTTGCACCAAGTTGCACGGTGGTTTGTAGCAGGCACAGAGTGTCCTTTAGATGCTAGGACAAGGCACCACGAATTTCCTATTATGTAAAGAGAAGACCATATTCAGGTCCTCAGGAGTGAAAAAAGGCCAGCATACATTATCCAAACTAAAGCACTGTGCTGCTATGAAAGCCATTCCTGAATGCTCTGGAAACAATCCCAGTTTCAAAGGAACCAAGTGCTGCTCAAATAAAGCTGAGGGCCAAGTGCTGCTTTCTTATGTGAGTTCAATCAGTAAAAGAAAGGACCATGCCTCTGCAGAGCAGAATTTAAATTTAGTGTGTATATGGGGGAAGGGTGGTCTCCAGAAGCAAAGTAACTAGCTTCTGACTTGGGAAGCTGTAAGGTGTTAATGTCCGGGGTCTCAAGAGCCTTCTCACAGGAAGTAACATTTGAAATTTAAGTGCAATCTATGAGAGCCCAAAAAACCAGTCAAGGTTACAATGTACCTGCTTTATTTAAACACGTCTCACTCTGATCCTTCAGAGGGGTGGTTATCCTTCTGTCAAGCCCTGAGCAAGAACAAACACCACCTATGGCACTGACTGTCCTGCCTGGGGACACCGTTCCCTCTTGGCTGAGCAGGTACTCTGGGGACAGGGCTCATCTGAGCATTACTCAAGCCAGCCAAGCCTGAAGCCCCGATCCGTGCTGGGCAGAAGTGAACTCTGCCCCTCCACCCCCAGCTGAACTAGGTCACTGTGTATTTATTCAACCCATATATTTATTCAAACTTCAAGCTGCATGCACAAAGCAGTTTTGCTATAACTATACTCCCACCGGCACACAAAATGTTGTTTATTGATATATGGGAAGCAGCAGCAGGCTAAATATTTAGGGATAGTTATTTTGTACAGTTTTAACAGGGAAGCAGAATACAAAAGGAGAGAGCAGCCTCTTCTGCACATCACATTGAAGAAGGGATCCAAAAAGATGAACAAGCAGCAGTTTAACTAGAAGACTCAAACACATGCAAAGCAGTTACATCTCCAGTTTCTTTGTATTACAGTCAGGGGTTACTATAAACTTTACTGTAATGAATATTAAACTCACACCAAGGGAACTAGGGAGAAGCCCCAAGACTAACAAAAGTACTGAAAGGCTTTCAGCTGAGATGCCTATTTGTCACCAATGTACACAAACCAGAATAGGGAAAACTTTTAGACTTGAGGCTGAAACTCTCCTTTCCCGGACAACTTCATATTTTTGAGCAAGATTTAACTTCTTTTCTAGCCTTTAACTGAAATTTTCTGCTGGCTTTATCTTCTTAGGTGGGAGACTAGTCAATTCTGGGAGTTATGCTGACTTCAGTAGCCACTTTGCCCTAGTTCATCTGCTAAAAACTTTCATTACAGTGTCAGGCATAGTTCAAGGTGTGGATTCCAGGTTCCCTGACAGGTGTGACAATTTTTTCCCATCTGTGGCATGAGTGGATAACATGTAAGTTGTGCTAGCATTTCATTCCTTTTCACAATTTGGCCAGTTACCGTTTTCCAGGAATTGTAATTACTCTACAGGAGGCCCACCTCTTGACAAGGAAGTTATTTGTGCTAAGCTGTTGGGACTGATGAGAAGCAGGCATCTGAGAATGCTTTGCATTCCATCTGCAAGGGGATGCACAAAGATAAAAGACTTAATTTATATTCTATTTGGACATCAGTGAAATTTAGTTTGACAGCTTCCTAATTTGGCAGGAGGAGAGTATTGCCATGCATTTGCATGGCTCTTTTGGCACTGTTACGATGCATTCAATAGCCTGAGTCTAAAAATGGACCATATACAGAGATACAATACCAAGGATTTTTTTTTGAACATTCTTAATACATAAGTAAATTAAAGTCACTGCTACCCAGCATAATTACAATTTTTTTAAACCCTGGCAAGTCCCACGCAGTAAGTCTCTGGAAACTTGTGACTTTTACAGCAAACTAGCTACAAAAAAATAGTTTGAAGAAAGCCTCAAGTTACAGTATGACTCACTGCCATGGAAAATACTTTTCACTGGAAAACATACAAATTCTTGTTCTAGTTGAGAATTCTCTTTCCTTGCCACACCCCAAGAAGTTAAACAGTATGCTAGAGACTTTGTTTTTCTATGCACAATACCTTCTAGATGAGGAAATGTTTTCATTTTAATTTTGTTTCATTACTGGTCAGTATAAAGAGAAGGCTTTAGCATTACATTTCAGTATCTATGTTTTTAAAACTTCGTTTTTATGATCTGTATTTTAGAGATATACTTCACCCAGTTATCCCTTGCACTGAGCCCAATAATTGTTTTGGCCAAAGTAAAATTTGCTCATGAATTAAGCTTAGCTTCATAGATGCTACGGATTAATTTTCACTTTCCCAACTGGAGGTAGCAAAGCACTTGAAACAAAGTATTTTTTAAATCAATGTCAATGAAGTAATTATGAGTAAGACTGTATTTTGGATTCTACAGTAATAGCAGTCAGTTACCATTTTAATCAGCAGGTTTGTACTGAGGAGAGTACTAACAGACACGTAACAAAGATCTTAATTTCAAAGAAGACTGACTATACAGCCTACTACATTTTACACTGTAGAGACTTGAAACATTATTATGCTTCCTTAGAAAACATGGTGTACAAACCCACCACCCTTTCAAGGATGATTACTGCCTTTCTAGTATGCCTAAAAATCTACATTTAGGAAAGTTAGTGTAATTATCTCCTGATCTTCTAGTGCAGTGATCTTAAATGGTAGTATCTTCGTAAGCCTTCACCACTAATGAGCGTGAAGTGTTCAAAGACAAGTCTCAAAACTAAACAGTTGCCATAGTAACAGTTCAGAGCAAAACACTCCGTAAACTACTCCCTCTGCACTAAATGTCTTGCAAATCTTAGGAAGTCTCTCAAGTTCCCCAGAACTTGGAACAGACTTGCATCTCAGTCTGAATTATTAATATCTAACCGAGGCTTTTGTCCTGCTTTGACTTCGGTGTTTTCTTCTAGTTATGATCATTTTTTGATCTTTGAAACCAATTTGGGTCCTTTGCAGAGGACAGCTCTCGTTAAGACAGTGCCTTTGTTCCGCTCACCCCTGTTTGCAAAATGCTTGCTCATCAGAACAAGCGTTTCGGGGCAGCTACTATCCTGCACTACCCATACAGCACTCAGCAAAACAGATTTCATGATCTCATTTGAAACTTTTTAGGACTGACTACAGCCAAATCAACCACCCAATTAGCAACACTGGATTCTGCAGTGGCTCTGTGGGTTAACAGACCTGACCCTGTCCAAAGGCTGACATTACATCCAGAGTCTAAAGGAGCTTCAGTAAAGATGCTCAGCTTGTTCAAACTATTCTGCAAAATCCCCAAATGAAATCCACAAATCAGCTCCAGCATTTATTGTAATGCCTTAGTTCCTTAATGTTTTAACTCTGGATTACGTATAACATTTTAATTTAGCTGAAGTTTGGGAAGTAAGCGAGACTGAGATTATACTACTATCAAACTCTATGTAATCATTGACACCTAACGCAGTAGGAACTGATGTTCCAACCAACCCTTAGGCTCTTTCAGAACAAGTATATTTTTCTAAATCCAGAAAAAACAACCCAGCCTGCCCTATAAGGAAGCTGCTTAACCTTATTTAACCATTCAGAAAGTGTGGTAAACAGCACAATGACAAATTTGTAATTATTGAAGATGACGAAATTTCAGACAAACCTAAAAAAGCAAGGTTAGTAATTCAGTATTGGAAAACAAGAACATTCCTAAATTCAATTCACTAACTGCCAAGAGAAGAGATAAAACCATGTATCTCTTCCCACACAGCATTAGCCAGCTATAACCTGGGGCAGGAAAGAGATTCTCTATGGACATATCTCACCATTCTGATTTAACCAGAAATATCTATTCAGTGGCCATAAGGTACTCAACCAGACAGAATACTTCAGTATGCCACTTCTTATATGCTTCTAATAAGCTGTACTTATACTTGCAATATAGTTAAACATATACACTTACTTCATTCCATGCAGAAAAGTCAAGAATATTCTCTATTAAAAAAAAAGTGGCGCATTAGTAAGATCTTGTGTTTTAAATGCAAATATGGCAAACTTAGTATATGACCAGGCAAGCAGCTATTACCTGAATTCATGCACTTAGAATACAGCTGTAAAGTAGAGTCTCTCCTATAGAACTACCTCAACCCTACCTAAAGGATTAGGTCGCTCATCAAACTGCACTCAACAAGGACTGATACAGAGAGATGCAGTGACACTACTTCCATGCAGATATTAATACCACGCGCATGGGTGTGTGCAGAGGGTGGAAATAACACATGAGTTGGCCCTGGCTAGTCCAAATGCCATAGCAGCCACAAAACAATAAGCCACCGTAATGCTGACATGAAGCAGGCAAATTCCATGCTCTGCCTATGAAGTTTTTTCCCTAACAAGATGGAGCTGCTGCGATTCACACAACAAAGAATACCTGCTAGGATGACCCAGAGAACAGGAGGGAGACTATCACACAACAGATTCCCCTCCTCACTCTCTCCAACATGTGTTTGTCCAGAAAGCCCAATGCTGGGAGGTATGATCTCTCTATAAATAGACAAGGAGCCAACAGCAGCAAGGGAAAACAACTCTAAGATCAAGGACGAAGCTGGCTACTGCACAAACAATATGAGCTGATTATACGAAAAACCTGAGACTGAAAAGATTCATAGCCAGACGAGCAAGGCATAGCCTCCTGCAAGAATATCAGAGGTAAAAAGACAAAACAGATATGGTTCACTGAAAATTGCAACTAGTTTAAAGGACAGCAAAAGCAAAGGACACCCATTCCTTGTCCTGTTTTTTTCAATTTGCAATTTAAATATATATCTACCGTTGTACTAACTGTAAAGTTAAGTACGCTCTACAATAAGAAAACAGAAACCTATGAAAATAAGGCACTCTTAAGCTTTAGCTGTAACACTGCAAGTGTTGCTATCAGTTAGGTTAATTACCTTTTCTTCTGTAAAACTCTCATATTCCTTTTAAGTTAGATCAGATTCCATGGTTTATTTCAGGTTACAGATGGTCTATGTTACAGTTCCATCTGTTGCATCATCCCTAGGGTACATTTCCATGTCTTAACCTCTAAGACCCCAGGGCCAAAGACACAACCTCAGACCTTTCATCCATGCATGACTTAAAAAAGCAAAGCCACCGATACAACCCCAGGATAAGCAGAGCTCTGCTGAAGTGAAGATACCTTATAGCACTACTCCTTTCTTCCCCTCCACTTACAAAGGGGAAAAAACAATGTCACGGTAGCCAAGACAACACATGGGGTTGTACCAGTCCAACTCTTGCATGTAAACTTCTTTTGCAAGTAAGGTTACCATCATGATGTCTGTATACTGTTTTAGACAAGGTAAGGTATACAAAAGAGGCTGTTTGATGACTGGGCACTGAGATTAGCATCAGCCTTACACCTCTGCAATTGGAAAACTGCAGCAAGGACAGGGTGAATAAATGTCACTTTATGCAGCAAGAAGCTCATTAACATGAACTCGTAAGTCAAGTGAAGAGAATAAATCCTGATAGGCAGAAGAAAAGCCGCCAAAACCAGAAAACAGGAAAGTTTTGTAATGCAGAATAATTCCTTCCACAGCCCAGCCAAAGCAGCACCACACAGGAAATCAGATTCATTCACCTCCCAGATAGCTGAGCAAGTAAAGTAAGAATCAACTGTCTTTATATACAGATAGTGAACTTTGAAGTAACGTATGGCAAAGTTTTTCAAAATCTCTATGTAAGCAAAAGTCAGACTAAATCTAGTCTGGAACTAAAGATGGTGTTAAAGCCTTTCGGAACTGAGGAAGCTGTTGCGACTCGGTTAAGGCAATTTGGGCGAGCATAAATAAAACTCATATTCATTTGGTTTCATTGGTAACAGACCTGTCAGACAGTCAGTTAACGTGAAAAGGCTTTAAAACGTTTTAAAACCACTTAATAGCTTTATCCCCACAGTAAATGCTGCCTAACAAACATGGAATAGTTTCCATACTACTAAGCAGGTAGGAACTCAATAAGCTGGTTCATATTTGTACATTGGTTGCTTTCACTAATCTATTCTCTGAAACTGATCTATTAATAAAAACAGCCGTCAGCAACCACATGAAAAAGCAGCTTAACCAGTTTTATACCTTTCATAGAACCTGATAAAATCATTTACAAAGATTCATTATTTTAAGTAGGAACGGCCAGAGTACTTTTCAACAGTCATCTGTATCCAGCCATCTCATTTCCTGCACCCTGTTTGGTTTGTTTTAGTTCTTCAGGCAGCTGTGTCAGTGCAGTGAACAAGAGCAGCTGTGGTTTCCTGTTAGTGCTGGTC